TGTCTCAGCAAGATCCTGGGCCAATTCAAGTTCCTCTGCCTTCATCAAGGAAGACAGAAGAAAGAGAGGATGCACCAGATGAAATGCACAAAGGTGGCTGCACACAAGTGGAAGACAGCAAAAGCTGACATGATGTAGCAGGCACCTGTCACAGTTGGGAGTGCCAGGGTGCCAACAAGCTGCAGAAGGTGCAGCACTGCAACGTTCTATGTGCGCCTTTGAGTGGCTGCACCCAGATGGACCATCTCATACCTATCTGAGGGTTTGTCCACCAGTGTGCATATTGTGAAATACCTCGGCGTGGACACCCTGGAGGTGGCATTAGGCTATCTGGAGGCCTCATAGCACTCCACCATACTCGCACATCACCAGGCTACCCCAGCTCATAGGCTCTGATGCCACCTCACACTCCAGAGAAGCCAAGCATGGTACCCCGACCATCTGCTGGCTTGAAATCCATAACATTTCCATGCACGCTAGCTAGCTTGAGGGTGCCACTTGTACATGCAACTCTAAGTTGAAATTGGTTGATTTGTGTGATATTTACCAGGGGAGGACTGGTCTGGACTGGTCTGAACTGGTCTTAGACTGAATTCAGTCCTAGACCGGTCATGGCTGGTCTTGGACTGCAAGGAGGACTGCACAGGACCAGGACCTGGTCTTAGTCCGGTCCTGCACAAACTTGTGCTGGTCCTTGACCGGTCAGAGTCCTGGTCCGACACAATTTCTGAAAAAGACCGGACTGGACCGGACCCTCAACCACTACCGGAAAGGAAACCGTTCTGATGACTTGACCGGGACATTTCAGATGGCCTGAAATCGGCCCATGCCCGTAGTGTATGTCACTGTACACATCGATCAGAGTAATGTTCGGGCGGACGTTATGACACAACATCCTCCGAGTCGTCTCCTCGTGGGCCAGGCCAGCGCAGTCCCGTGAGCTTCATACCCGTACCGTGAGCTGTGCTCCAAGCTGACTATTCCCCGCATATGGCCTCCGCGGCGCTGGAAGGAGACACTATAGATCCGTTGTATATGGGCGATGGTCATTCGGCCTCCATAATGGCGCCAAGCGTATGCATCACCTCGTACCCGTCCCAAGCCGCAGTGTATCAACCGGCATTTTGGGACGTGCATTCCTAGGAACTTTGGGCACCCGAATTCCCCGCTGGCAATGGAGATCGCGATATGATGCGTTGGACGCTCTTGTCGGAGGCGTAGGGATGCCTCGGGACGCTACGGTTTTTTGAAGCACTGGCGATTGTGAATGTCCGAGCCTAACATGTTGTACCCTCGCTCGCTGCGCTACCCTTGATAACAGGTGTCCCGACGAGAAATTAGTTCTCCGTCACAGGCCTTTTTGACAGCTTACATTTGTCTCGATGCCGAGGTAACTCGTGAAGCATTTAGCCTATACGAATGAGCCAACCGGGCAATTTGCAATGTGTGTAGGTCTCACATATCAGATGGTCGGAAAGACCATGCAATGCAAACGGCAGCGGATCTTACTCGCGCATCATCTTCGTGCGGCACGCTCATTCGTGATTCCCATTAGTGCATATATCAAGACCCTGCATATTCCGGGGGCCACCAAAAATAACACCCAACTCCAAGCACGGGATTATTTGCTTCCCATTTGTTACCAGGTGTGTTAGAAAATGGACCGGGGACTCGTTACCAACTGCCCGACGCCGAAGGTGGGCGGCGTCTCGAAGATAATCACAGACACGTCGTGATTTTCGTAGGCAGGCCTTTTCATCACCCTCTGTTCCATGCCTACGTGAAGCTCAATAAATAGATAAAGAGAGCTTCTGTCGAAAGTGCAAGCCGCATAGACGAGAATAAGGAACGATTATGAAAGTACCGGCGTCACCGTCACCAGAAGATGGTGATGGTCTATTGATGTGTGCTATTTTTAGGGATGAGCGACCCTAGCTTGTCTGTACTCGCCGACCATACTTACCCAGCTCAGATGGCTGTGAGTGTTTGTTCGGACCGTATCGAACATGAACTAACGCGGTTGAGACAACGATGGGTTGTAGCGACGCTGGACGAAGGTCGCGGGTGAAGTCGCCTGACAAATGGGGACGTGCGCCACGAAGGCCCCGGAGATCATCCATGCCAGGCACCAGACATGACCGGACACAAAGCTTCCCGGCCCGCATGACATTGAAGGTGCCGCGTCTGATAAGGCAGGAGGAGTAAAGTCGTGCTGTTTCCCACCGATGGCACATGGTTCCGCAGCTACGTCCGGCTTCAGTCCGGCCAAGCGTCAAGCTGTGTGTTGTTATCAATTATAATTCTTCACAAAAGCGAGTTTACGGGCACTGACGAACGAATTGATACTATTAGGCGTCGTTACGGGTGCGGCCTGACTCTGTGTTGTGATAGTCGTGTTCGGCTCACATCTTTGCTGAGAGGACTTGCGAGGACAGACAAAAATTGGGGACACAAGCATGAGGAATAGAGCATGTCTCATCCTGGTCGTCGGCAGCGGCACACCTATCAGCGATCGGTGAGTACACACTTTGTCCGAAGTCAGCATGTTCTTGCCTCGGTGTATGATGTGGTACGTTTAAATCCGCAGGACAGAGCTCTCCCTGTCGGTGAGCTTGAAGGAGCCTGGCCATCAGCATGCGACGATTCTCCCTACCGACAAAGATGCACTCACATTTGAGAGATCTGAATTGGTAATGGATTCTGCTTCCGGGAGGCTTGGCTCCTGCGACCCATATCACAGGCAGCGTCTCGAGTCGGACCTCGTGTAGGTATACTGTCGCTATGCTGCCTTTCTAAAGTAAGACATTAGTAGGGTTCCGTACGAAGATCTTTCGGCTGCGCACCTTCTCAGTTCCGAGTGCTCTCGCAATCCCGAACAACAAGTCACTTGTCCATGTCAAACGCCATCGCAGGAGCGCCCCGTGCAGCTTACTTTGATATCTGCGAGTCGGTTTGAGGACGATGCGGCGACACAAAAACATACGTTTGAGTCGATAACATACACGACTGAATACAGGTTGCATCCGAGCCTCCGGCTTTAGACGGGGCCGGGACCGGTGCTGGCCGGTACGTCATCACGTGATGCGCGATCGATTTTAAGCTCTCTTGTTTTGACTCGCCGCGCTCTCTGTAACAGCGACTGTCCTCTGTAAGCCCAATGTCCCAGTGCAATGTCCTTTCCGTGCCGATGAATATCGCACACACACCTGCCAAATTCCGAAGCTTTTTCCCACAGGAAAGACCGGTCTCAGACAATACCTGCCTACCAGTCGCCACCGATACTTCCGGGAGTACACTATACCCTGCCTGAGCTGACGCGAAACTATCTCAGCATGCTTGCAGGTCACGAGAAAAAGAATTTATTTTTATTTTTTCAGAGCATATCTGTGCAAAGATACTGGTCCTTCATGTGTATTTTTCCTGATGGGCACGCCGCACGCTGCCAATTCCACGTCTTGCAGGTAAAACCACTTCTATCTCTAATTGCACCATTTGGCATGACGCACCCTTCAAATTTACGCGTGCCCTGCTGCGGAGATACTAAACGCGGTACAGTACCACATCCGATGACAATGGACATACTGGGCAGAGCAATCTGCCTGTCTTTGTACAGCATTGGCAGCCATGATATCACTCTCACTCTCGACAATTAAGCTTCCAAGGGCTCCATCTGGTGACCGCGTGCTGTACCTGCGCGCTTCGTCTAGAAAATAAGGACCCGATTTGCGCTCATGATACCGGATGGTAAGCGCAGTTCCCCCTTGCAAATTCAATCAGAGCTGGTTGAATAAGTATCTCAGATTTCCTCTGGTTTTTTCCTGAAAAGACAAGAAACAAACCATCAATTTCCGCCATTTTTAGACTCATCCGGCCGGTTTTGCACCAGCTGAATTTTTACCTCAATTTGCCTCGGCGTACGACCGAGGAAATCAACTATGCGAGACTCTTGCGGCTTATTCTTAGTAGGTCGTCCATATGATCTTCCTGGTCTTCTGGACATGCTGGAAGCATCGTCCGCAGTTCCAACGCGAGGGCCGTAAGTACCATGAGTTTTGTCGCTCTGCCCGGCTGCTGAGAGCCAATGAGAAGCGCTGTTCCAACTACGCACAGGGCATGCGATGCCTCTTTACTTCGTTGCTGAGAGCTCCCGTGCTTACCCGAGCAGCGCTGCTAACTCCGAACCGCGGCTGCCCATGACTGATCACTTGTACCAAGTCGACACAGCAAAAGAGCCCAGTGGTGGTATGTTCCGAATATAAAAGCCAGTAGATGCACGCTAACATCAGCAGCAGCACGACGCCGCCACTTCGACCACTGTTCTCAGTCGCCTTCACCTCGTTCGACGACGTCTCGTTCGACATGTCCCTCAGGAACCTCTTCATCTCTGTGACCTGCGCACTCCTGCTTGCGTCCCGCGGCGCTGCCGCGCCAGCGGCCTCATCGGTAGTCTCGCCGTCTGCCAGCTCTGTGGCGGCCCCACTGTCCGCCAGCTCCCCAGCAGCCTCTTCTCCATCGCCTGCATTGTCGTCCTCCGAGACCGAACCCTCGTCAACCGTGTCCGCGCCGCCGGTCTCCGAGACCGTGGCGCCTGCGTCGGACGATCCCAACTACGTCGCCTGGACCTCTGACTACACCGGCACGCCAGAGGCAATTCGTGACTCACTCGGTGGGACGGTCATCGGCCCCCAGAACGTGCCGCTCGACCTCGAGAACCCAGACCTGCTCGCGCCGCCCACGACTGACAACGGCTTGGTGTACGTAACTCTCCTTGGCTAGCTCGACCCGTTCTAAAGATACTGACCGTAACTTGGTTCTGCAGGGCCAACGCCAAGTGGCCGTTCAGCTTGAGCCACAATCGCCTCCAGACCGGCGGATGGGCTCGCCAGCAGAACGGTGAGTACCTGACATGTATGCAAGCGCCGAGCAACAGTTGACCAAGTGACTGCGCTAGTCGACCAGCTACCTGCCGCCACCGAGCTCGCAGGAGTTGACATGCGCCTCGAGGCTGGCGCCATTCGGTAAGCCGTAATTCAATGCTAGTCCGTTCTGGCTAACGTCGTCTCGCAAAGCGAACTCCACTGGCATACCGCCTCCGAGTGGGCATATGTCACTCGGGTGAGTGCATACAACGACATCGTCTGCGGCGAGCAGTTCTATAAATTCTACATCTCAGGGCTCCGTGCAAGTAACGGCCGTCAATCAGCTCGGTCAGAACTTTGTCGGAACTGCCGTACGTATTTTAGCGATATATTTTTAGACTGCCTTCTGACTCTATTTTTGTCAACAGAACAAGGGTGACTTATGGTTCTTCCCGGCCGGCGTCCCGCACTCTCTTCAAGCTACGAATGCGACTGAGGATGGCGCCGAGTTTCTGCTGGTTGGTCGTGTTTTCGAGATGGCACTACGCAGATACTGAGTGGGTGTGCACCCCAGGTCTTCGACAACGGCACCTTCGACGAGGACGGCACGTTCCTCATCACCGACTGGCTGGCCCACACCCCGAAGGAGGTCATCGCTAAGAACTTCCAGGCACCCATCTCCGTCTTCAACGAGATTCCGGGCGAGGAGCTCTACATCTTCCCTGCTGGTGCGTACCCCCGCCTTCAAACACTCTTTCGCACCAGGCTGACTCATGCTCGCATTGCTAGCGTCGCCGGGTCCAGACTCGGACGCTCCCGCGGGTCCATACGGCACGGTGCCGAGCCCGTACACGTTCGCGATGTCCCAGATGTCCGCGACAGAGCTGTCGGGCGGGTCGGTCAAGATCGTGGACTCGCACGTGTTCAACATCTCGAAGACGACGGCGGTCGCGGAGGTGACGGTCAACCCTGGCGCGATGCGCGAGCTGCACTGGCACCCGACCCAGGACGAGTGGACGTACTTCCTGTGAGTTGCCTAGTTGTGTGCGCTTGCTGATGGGCGCTGAAAGAGGGTGGGCAGGGAGGGAAACGCGCGGGTTACGGTGTTTGCGTCGTCAGGTAACGCGAACACGTTTGACTACCAAGGCGGAGACATCGGTAAGTGCAGATCTGTGTGGAGCACGACATCTAAGTCTCATGCGAGGCGGTCTAAGCCTACATCCCCGCCGCCAACGGCCACTACGTCGAAAACATCGGCAACACGACGCTCCGCTATCTCGAGGTCTTCAAAACCGCGACCTTCCAGGACGTCAGCCTATCTCAGGTGCGAATGTCTCTGAGTCCATGTCAGGACCGTAAACTAATAATTAACCATCGCAGTGGTTGGCCCTTACACCTCCGGCAATGATCGAAGCGACGCTCAACATCAATGCCGAGGACCTCAAGTACTTCAGCAAGACCAAGTCTATCGTCATCGGCCCCGCTCCAGTAAATGGCACCGCGAACGGCACTACTGCCGCCTGAGAGCTTGCTGTACTCTCGACTGCCATAAATTGAATAGAGATACGTGGAATTTAGTCGGCATGAAGCCGTAGCCGTGCTTCCTAAACTCTGTAAAATAACCTGCACCACAATTTGATCGTAATGCCGAATAAAAATTTGTGCTCGTTTCGCTCCGACCTCATCAGATGTGTGAGGCTCGCAGCGCGATATGCACAAACTTGGAACTTGAATTCAAAAACTAAACGGCGAGTCTTGAATGCAAAACAGGGTGCTCACTGCTCATCAAATACCCATTCGTTCATCCAGCTCCCCGGGCCAATGCATCCGCGCCAGACTTATGTCTTGATATCCTCAACAGATGGAACGGAAGACGGCGAGCAGACTAGAGAGATCTAAAGCGCTGGGCACTGTATCTGAAACTAAACGCAGCAGCTCTCACACGCATGGAAGCCGGGCCCAGGACGCAGAAGACCAGCAAATCTTCGCTCGCCCGCAGTTATTGAGGTAGCTCTATCGCCGAGGGCAGCAGCATACCAGTGGTGGCCAAACGTTTGGGAGACGCCAGCCTCGGTCTCAGAGGCAGCAATCTCCAGAAAGAAGGATGTCTTGACAAGGAGGGAAGTAATTCAGAGAGTTGCGGGGTTGCCACGGTCCATACGTCTGGTCGGAAGGATAGGTATGAATTGACATGTTTCTACGCGGAGCTTTGCGGCAGGTGAGAAACGCATAGAGCTTCAAACAAGAAGGGTAATTTTTAAGCGAACAACAAACGGTGGTTACTTTCTGTATCGACCTGTCGCAGTGCCAAAGCCCATGTTACTGAGTCATGCGTTATTCAGTACCAACGAGCAGGTATGCGCAGGTTCCCGTCGACGGTCTCAGAAGCGAGGTTCCTTCCTCGGTACCTCCGGTAACGCGGAGTATATTCGTCCAACTCGCGCCAGTCCACCCGGATCTCGTCTTGGTTGATGATGCCGATGTAGTTAACAGATTCACCCCGCTGTTCGTCGCTGTGAACGGGCTCAGCGAGCTATGCTAAGCAAACGGCGGGCTGCACGTACATGAAGCCAACAGCACTGATGGTCCCGGTGCCGCGGTATATCCTCACGGCAGACAGATCGCCAAAGACGCGTTGCGCCAGGGGCAAGTCGTGCGGCAGATCGTGAATGCGCATACGATCGTTGAGTGAGAACTGCCAGGTGATCACGCCGCGGGGCACGTTAAAGTCTCCAGTGATCTTGAGGGCGCGCACGGCCTGGGCAGCCTCGTCGAAGTACACGTAGAGCACCTCGGTGCTGTGGGTGGCGTACGCACCGAGCCAGATGCCCTCGAGGCTCGCGGGAGCCCACCGCTCGTCGGTGGGGTCGTCGCCGTCGAGCACGGGGGAGCGGAGAGGGTAGAATCGCCGGTAGAATGGCGGCCCACGGCGCGGCTCGCTCCCGCCGAAGTCGAAGCTGCGGAGGTCTTGCGCCTGCAGGGGTAGCTCGTGCCGCGCAAAGATCTCGGGCCCGCCCGGCTCAGGCGGGTGAAAGACGAGCGCGGCAGGTTTTGTAACGGCTGTCTGTGCCATGTAGAGAAAAGCGACGGCGTTGATGAGGCCGATGTTTTGCACTTTGGAGGTGACGGGGGCTTGTTCGACCTTCAGGCGTGGAGGTCCGCGGGTCCGGTCGTACCAGACCATGAGATCGGGATTGGGGAAGTCGGGAAGGCGACAAATCACCGCGCTGTAGCGGAGATATAAAGACTGGTCCGTCTCGGAGAGGACATGCATGGTGGGGGCCGCGAGGAAGTTGCTGGGGGAACCGAAGTACCCGACACCGTTGTGGTGAATGTGCCAGCTGATGACCGCCCGTCTCGGCGTGTTAGACGCGGACAGAGAGACCGAAAAGAAGACGAAGTATTCGGGCAGCTTGGGTACCGTCAAGTCCATGGCGTCGAAACCCGGTGGCTGTGCCCACCATCGCCAGACCTCGCCCACTATACCCTTGTAGTCCACGTCGTAACGGAACTCGATGACTGAGCCCCTGTACGGATGATCGCTCGCCCACAACCCCAGAAGAGGCCAATACGTGTGCAAGACGAGGGTGTATATCTCGCGGTATGTGGCATCGTCGAAGATGGATCGGTCTGTGAACTTGTAACGTGCACATTGCTCCTGCCATACCCCGTCATCGTCCATGAGGGTATACAAAGAGTTGCACGTAGTTAAAACGTGAGCGATGTCAGATCCACTCAGCAAACGTAGTAAGACCCGGAGGACATCGTAGGGTAGCGTCTGCAACATATTACAGAAGAATGCACCGGGCTAGTACACTCTATATCAGAACGGTCACACCAGAGTCTGGAGGCCCGACGCTTTTACTCACAGTACTAGTTTATCTAGAAGGCCGGCTTAGTATTGTATGTTTCACAAAAAGACTAGATGGTAGTTACCCGAGCGCTGTATGTCCAGTCTAATCGGACCCTAACGGTGACGACATTCGGAGACATGGCTTAGTCAGCAGGGCGCCCTTCCTGCAAAGACAGGCCCAGCAGTTTACACAGGCGCGAAACGGAAAGCATTTGCGGATAATGACTGCTTTATCCAGATGTCATAAATTAGTTCCTAGTGGTGCAATTAGGCCTACCCTGCGCGTACCTCTACGCGCGTGCGTTCAGTTTGTCCGGCTGCGGGAACCGGGCGCCCGCCTCATCTCGGCTTAGTACTGTAGTGGTGCTCGCTTCCGCGTGTTTCAGCTGCCGCAAGGAGACCAACCTGCCACCACCACCGGCTCTGAACTACAAGTGCTCACGGGGCGCTCGCCATTCCTGGATACTGCCGCACTCGTTCCTGCGCTATTTACTTCATCGCCAAGCAATTTATGCACACCTTTCATGGAGGCAGCCGATTTTTTCCGATCTAAATGTGGTATATTATTTGATTACCGCTTTTTCCTTAGATTTGTTTACCTGAGCAGTATAAAGGCAGAGCTTTTATAGATCTCGAGGACCCAGGACAAGTATTCGACCCCACGACACTCATCACTTCCGCAACCCCGATCGTGAACTTTCTCCCTGATTTCTGATTTTTTTTGGCTATATACCTCGCTGTATCTTAGGCTCGTTCGCGCATCGCATCGTCTGCAGGCCGCCGTGGAATCGCTCGCACAACCAGCTCTCAGTCACCTCGAATTTTTCAAAGTAGGTCGTGTGTCCTCGTTAAGGAGCGTCTGTCTCAGATTGTGTGTAAGTGCCCCGTCATTTCTTTTCCAAGAAAATTGACCAAAATGCGTACGTTCGTTTTAGCCGGCAGCAATTCAAAAGGCTGGGACGTCTATATCTGGCATTGTGGCGTTCTAGATAAGATTAGATCAAGCTCAATATTTTGACTCAAGGCGCCGGGATCATTGCTTGCCGCCGACCACGATGCCCGCAACGAACTGGACCCCGTCTTCTTGGCAAAGCAAGCCGGCAGCACAGGTGAGACCACTGTAGAGGCTAAGATATGATCTATCTTACTGTTTGCTCTAGGATGTCGTATATCCAGATCCTGAACATCTTTCAAGGTACAGAACTAGAAGTCAGATGCAGTAGCAGATGAGGCTCACGGAGTAGTGCAGAGTATTGGCGAAGATAAAGCAGTTGCCGCCTCTTGTAACTCCCTCTGAGGTCCGTGATTCAGTGCCATACTCATCTGCCTGGAGCTCATTCGGAGCCAGATCGAACGACTTCGGCATCAACTCAGTCTGGTCCAGCGCAATGAAGCTTTCCTCTTACATGCGGGTGACTGCGCAGAGAGCTTCGATGCTTGCACACACGTACGTTTTCTTGTCACTTCGTAATGAATAAGCTTGCGCAACCTCGTCACCAGGAAAACATATCCAACAAGATCGGACTCATCCTCTCTGTCTCGCTCATCCTCATCTGGGGTGCCCGACTACCAGTTGTCAGTGGTTCCAGCCTTTTACCTATAATGTACCATGGATCTCATTGCTTGCGCATAGGTCCGAATAGGCCGTATTGCTGGCCAGTACGCTAAACCGCGCAGCAGCGCGATAGAGAAGATTGGCGATCGTGAAGTCCTCAGTTTCCGGTACAGTTCTCAGTGCTTTTTGCATCTTTGTTTCAGGAGCTGAGGGCATATTATAGTGGCGACAACGTCAACGGGTGGGTCACCACTGACAGTGGTTCGAAGTCTATTGACGCTTCTTCAGCCTTTCGCCGGATGACCGTACGCCTGACCCGGAACGCATGCTGAGGTCAGTGATACCGAAACGCCGTTGCACATTATGATAGCTCTGGATACAGCGCCTACTTCCACTCCACGACAACGCTCAACTACATCCGCGGCCTGCTGAGCTCGGGCTTTGCGTCTTTGGACCACCCGCGTGACTGGTCGCTCTCGCACGTGCGCTCTCCGGGGCTGCGCAAAGAGTTCGAGCGCATCACGGAAGGCCTGCAGGACGCGCTCGGCTTCACGCGCACCATTGGCCTTGGCTGGGAGAACACGCCATACGAGAAGGGCGGCAGCCGGAGTGTGCTTGGCGAAGTCGATTTCTACACCAGGTGCGGCTCCCGTCTTGCTCTGTGTATATGCACTGCTGATGGATATGCAGCCACGAGGGCCTGATGCTCAACTTCGAGGAGGCAATGACGCACGCGTTCACGCTCCCAGATTCGAGCAAGCCGGAGAGCGAGGGCCCGAGGCCGACGGCGTTCTACAATACGTCGGCGCATTTCCTCTGGATTGGAGACCGCACGCGACAGCTAAACGGAGCGCACGTCGAGTACTTCCGTGGAATCAGGAATCCGATTGGGATCAAGGTCGGTCCGAGCATGCAGGACGAGGAGCTCATTCGGCTCTTGGACAGTGAGTTATTAGCGATAACGGGAGATGCGGATGGTTAACAGTACATTGGTAGTCGTCAACCCAGATAAGGAGAGCGGACGCGTGACGCTGATCACCCGCTATGGTGCTGCCAAGGTAAGGCGTTTACTTTTCGTGCGTGTCCGAACGCGTCTCACGCGATAATACAGGTTGAGAAGCACCTTCCGGGGCATATCACCGCCGTGCAGCGGTCTGGACACCCGGTCATCTGGATCTGCGATCCGATGCATGGCAAGTGCGTCCCAAGTCCCCTCCGCTTTTCCCTTGCGCACGCGCTGACCTTCACACAGCACGCTGACCTCGTCGACGGGCCTCAAGACGCGCCACTTCGGGACGATTATCAGTGAGCTGACGGCGTGCATCCGTACGCACGCGGGCGTTGGCTCACGGCTCGGCGGCGTGAGCCTTGAGTTCACGGGCGAGCTCACCGAGGACGGGTTTAGCGTGACGGAGTGCCTCGGCGGGAGCATGGGCCTCGCGGAGGAGGAGCTCGGGCTCCGGTACCAGAGCTTCTGCGATCCGCGCCTCAACTTTGAGCAGTCGCTCGATGTCGCGTTCCTCATCTCAGACCACTTCAAGCGCGAGCGCCTCGGAAGGTATCGTCTCGGCGACGACGTCCTCTTCGAGGAGCTTGGCGGGCGCAGCCCTGCGTGAACATCTAGATGATGGATGTTGGTATAGTTGGCTTATACCAAAGCGCTTCACTCTTCTTGCGGATTCTCACAACGCATGGCCTTAACTCCAAGCTGATATTGTGGCTGGTGACTGCAGCTGCTATATCTCAAAAGAATATGCTCTCTGATGGTCCTCCACGACCTGCGTCCCTCATTTGTGTGCGCTCTCTCATGCTCCGTCGCCTTCCAAATCAGTACTTCACTGAGCATATGGCTGGTACGAGTTTTGCGTCAGCCTTACTGACACTTTGGACGCAGTACTACACCAAAATTATATATCTGAGTGGGCACGATAGGGATTGGCAAGTTGTAGTATACCTCGCAATCAGACTATGAATTGGGAGCGCGGAGTCAGGTCAGAACTGAGCCGGATTGGGCACTCCGAATGGCTACGATACATCTCTGCGGTAACACGACATACCACAGGACGCTATACGCCTAGAGTCGCTACAGTGCGGCGCAAGATTAGGACAAGTATTACACAACACGTCGCACCCTACGATGCCGAAATAGCAATTTTGCGGACCTGCTCGAGAAGGACTGCACTTGATGAGCCGTCCTCTGCAAGAACCCGCATGTCCTCGGCGTCCCTATCGCTTTTGTCCGCGTACTCGGCAACCCCTGACATATGATTAACACGTGCGCACGCTGCGTGAATAGCAAGCAGTCGAGGGTCAGGCAGAGGCAGATCATCTCGATCCGGAACATGGGCCTCAAAGCGGACTGTTTGGCCTTTTAATTCGGATGGCATAACAAGCCCCCTCCTAGACAGGCATATCTTGTACTTTGAAGCGTCAGTAAAGGCAGACTATAGAAGATAAGGTAGATACTTCATTCGACGTGTTCGTTGCCTCAAGCCAAAGGTGCAAATTGTCGAAGAGGGCGTGAAGATAGCTGGTCATTGTGAGGATGTTGGTTAGATGGTATACACAGCCCTTCTTCACGACCTCATTCACGAGCGACTCCAATCCAAATGACTGAAGGACTGCGAGAACGGATGCCGCATATTCCCTCTGCCATGAGATAAGTCACTAGACCCTCGAGCCAGAACAAGAAATCGCACCTTCCTATCGCGGTCCGGGTTGTCGGGGTCGGCATCTTGCAATGTAGACTCTGATAAGATGTGGCAGCAATTCGTATATCTTATCCCGACAACGGGATCAGCGTGTTCTGGATAAACTGCAGGATTACACTCAACGGTATTCAGATCGTACATGCCGGAGAGCATGCAGCGAAAGCCGTCGCGGACCAGTGCCTGAACCGAATTGTAAGCATATACAGTGCACTGAAAGGACTGGCATGGGACGCACTCGCTTCTTAGCCGACCTGTAATCCTTGCCAGAACCATCTAGAGCATCCTTGAGCATGTCTTCTAGAGTCGCGAACGAAGGGCGTGAAGGATGTTGGGATGGCGCAGGCATAGGCCCCTTGGCTTGCCGAACTACGTGGATATCGAATGAGTTAAAATGCTCAGAAGAACGAGAAAAAAAAAACGTCACAAGCGCGCAATAGTTTGTATCGATAATATTCACCGAGCTCGTAGATCACGGCGCTGGAATCGCGTGACGAATCTGAGCGGACTGCCTTCGAGACTTGTGAGACAGCAACGTCTCCCAGCGTCTTCCTGAAGTCATGGAGAGCGATCATGAGGAAGCCGACCACCCTAGCATGTATCACCTCATCATCTACAGCAGCACGCTCAGCGACCAAGACTAGATTATAGGCACTGCGCAGATCGTTGTCGGGGGAATGGTCGATTTCTGTCTCACGGATGGGCGGCAACGGCGAAGGCATCTTGGACGAATGGGCAAGAGTAACGATGGAGTAGAGGGTTAGGGGCAAGCTGGTGGAGGGCGCTTGCAAGCGATTTGTTTTTATCCCCAGCCATAGCCTCGACGTCGCCCCGTTCGAAGCTCAAAACAGCGTAGGCATGTTGCACTTACAGCGTCTGGCTTGGGCTGTGGTGGATTTTAGAAAGAAAAAAACTCCAGGGTCATCGCGCCGCTCCACACCGGTAAGTATGTGGCAGTCGCGCAGGATGAACGAGACTGGAGGAAGCGAAGAAACATGAATAGTAAAATGATATGTAACAGCTATGGACACAAAGAACTCCATTATACATTATGCAATCTTGACCGTCTGTTTCATGCCTAAGGTTCAGCCTCATCAGCCATAAAACTGGGCGAAATCCTCACCTTGGTGTACAGCGAATCCACGACCTTGCCAACCTGCTCAAGCGTCTCAATCGCCGCTCCATACGTATTCTGCCAAAATGTCAGCGCCTGCGCTTTTAATCGTACATAAAAGGTATTGCTTACATCTGGCACGGGCTCGTCGTACACGAGCAGGATGCCGCGCTGCTGATCCAGCACGCCGTGCAGCACCTTGTCGAGGATCATCTGCGACAGCCTGATTTCGTGCTTGTCAGCCAAAAGCGACGCATTTTAGGAGCGTGTGAGACATACTTGAGCTCGACGGCCTGACGGCCCTGGCCGACTTGCTGGGCCACGTACTCGACCTCGACGACAGAGTACGGCTCGACAATGCGGAGGAGGTTCTGTTCGAGCAGAGTGTCGTACAGCGCCGAGAGGTGTGTGCGGATGGTGATATCCGACGAAAGCTCTACCGGAGAAGGTCAATAAGGCCCAGCCAGTGAAGATATACGCGCACCTTCGCGGTAGTCCTTGAGCGCCTGCTCAAAGTCGGCGAGGTTCCGGTTCTTATGCGCGCGTGCGATGGCGCGCATGCTCTCGACGTCTCGGAGCTGCGCGTACTTGGCGACGAGCTTGATGGAAAGGAGAGAAGTCACGTCGTCAGGCTGTGAAAAGTTAGCAACACGTGCGCACGCTATGCGAAGACCGGACGCACCAAGTTTAGCATGACTTTGCAAAGGAGCATGTACTTCAATGCGAGTAGCGTCTTCGGGTCGTCTTGCTGCGTGAGGTTCTCGAATGTCTCGTAGAAGTACGAATATGCTGTAACATAGTCCTTGTCTTCGGCATGCAGGATGCCGGACTGGAGGTCGAGCTGCGCTTGGAGGTATGGTGGGCAATAGATTGAGTTTGCGGCAGTTCGCGCCGATGTCAAAGCGGCCTATGCTAGACGTGAGGCAGCACAGAAGAGTATAGGTGCGATAGGCGTACCTTGGCCTTGGGGAAATTGCCGGTGCCTCGGTACACTCTGCTCTCCAGCAAGTGAACCTCGGTGAGGACCATCTTATCGTCTAACCGTTTGAGTTCTATAAGAAGCGTGTCGATGAGGGTGAGAGCGGCCTTGTATTGTTGGGCCTCTAGCTGCCTAGTGCGGAGTGAGATCAAGTCGGCAGATGCGGGGAGAGCACGTACAATCCGACGAGCCGGGTCTCGAGACTCTGCTTGAGGAATATCCGCTTCTCTTGCTTTGCCCATTCAATGTTGGTCCGAAGCACTCGCATCTGAATGTCCTTGCTGTCGGGAATCGGGGCGAAAAAGTCGAGCAATGTCCGGACTTGGGGAGCTCAGTAATTTAAACGATACTGCAGGGTGTTGTGCGTACTGAGTTTGGCTGTCTTTGCCTTTGCTGTTGATGACATGAACGTTCTTGACTTGTTGATGACCTCCGCTACACCTTCCGCGTTGCTATCAATATTTTATCAGCGCTTCTTCAATGCATGCCGTCCTAGCTTGGACGCACTGCTGGTCCCGGTAGAGTTCCCCAAGCTTTACGAGAGCAGTCTCCTGATGCCGCAATGTTGCAGCGGTCTCCGCAATCGCAGCATCCTTGTCTAATGGCTTGCCTGTCCAGCTGTGAGATGGACCAAGCTACGCGGTCTCGAGGCACGTACCAAGGATATCGTTGTATATCTGCTCCGCGCGCTTTGGATCAGACTTGGCGAGCTGCTCTGCTTGCTTCATGAGATCTTCTGTACTGGCGGACATGATGGCGAGGACCTGAGAGCGATAGTAGAGGAACGAGGGCGATGATGATTGGGAGGGAGGGAGGGAGCACGAGGTCTACGCGACGGTGACGCGTCTCTGACCGTGGGAAAGCACTGACGCGTCGGACCGCAATTACACCCTTCCTCGAGTACACCATCCTCGACAGTCACCCTCCTTCCTCGCCGTACATCACGCTCTCATCGCTCCACTCCATAACGATACCTGCCCGAGTTCTCTGCCATGGCCGGCGAAGTTGTACTCCCCATCCCGAACTTAGAGCTTCCGCAACACCAATTCGTTCTCTCCAAGCCTCAATTCTCGCACTTACACGATAATGCAAGGCAAAAATTGCTAGCAGGCATCGAGGAAGACAGTACGTAGTTAGTCATGCTGTTTTGGTGTCCCGCTCTGAAGTGTCGCCTCGCGTAGAGATGGCACCGTATTACCGCTTGGTGACATCCTCGGGTGCTCTTCCGTTGGATCCTACGCTCCTCGAGTCGCTGGAGAAGGCCAATAAGGAGGAGCTTGAGAAACTAGACGATAGGTTATCTGAAGCGGAGAAGATTGAAGGCGAGAGCGACATCGCTGACGCGCTTCGGGCGAGGGCGAACTACTTCACACAGATCGGGGACAAGGTACGTCCTCGGCGTATCTATAATCAACCCGTGAACTAGATTCCCTAGGTACTGTAGGAGAAGTCTTTAGAAGCTCAGAAGATTGCGCTGGAGAAGACGGCAGGTCTTGGCTCAAAGATAGACATGGCGCTGACCATGATTCGGATTGGCCTGTTCTTCGGGGACAACGACCTGATACAAGAGTATATGGCCAAGGCAGAGGAGTAAGCGATTCCCCTGCATATCTCCCTGAGTTGCTCAATTTTGCTCTAGGATGGTCGAGAAGGGCGGAGACTGGGACCGACGGAACCGCCTGAAGGTCTACCGCGGTCTGCATTTGCTGTCCATCCGGCAATTCAAGCGTGGTGGCGAGCTTCTCCTCGACGCACTATCAACATTTACTGCGACGGAACTCATCTCCTACAATGATTTCGTTGCTCTTACCGTCATCTCTAACGTCCTAACGCTAAGCCGGCCTGACCTGAAGAAGAAGGTGAGTACTGCTTCTCGACGGCCGCCCTACTCGACTAATGTTCTACATAGCTCATCAATGCACCAGAAGTGAACCAAGTTCTTCCAGAGCTTCCGCTGCTCGCGGACCTCATCAAGAGCCTCTACGACGCTCACTACGACAAGTTCTTCGTCGCTCTTGGTATGTAGCTCCTGGGTTACCGTGTCCGAGCTTCCCTAACTCCTCTACAGCGAAAGTAGAACAAACTATGTTACTTCCGTCTCGCATGCTCTCTGCACACTCAAGATTTTACGTCCGAGAGATGCGCATCCTCGCATATAACCAGCTTCTGCAATCGTATCGCAGTCTAACGCTCGAAAGCATGGCGCGGTCATTCGGCGTCAGCATAGAGTTTATGGACAAGTACGTAGTTTACATCTCATGTACATCCTATTTCGCTGACAACGTTGCAGCGAATTATCGCGATTTATTGCGTCTGGCCGGCTGCATTGCACGATTGACAAAGTCGAAGGTGTCGTCGAGACGAACCGGCCGGCACTTAAGAACGCGCAGTACGAGACTGTTGTGCGCCAGGGAGATATCCTTCTCAACTCGGTGCAGAGACTCAGTAAGGTACTGTACTGAGTGTGCAGTCGCGAGGCCATGTAGTATCCCATTGTACATTCAAGTCTTTGAACTACTCGTCTTACGATGCTGGCTGAATGTGTCCACAAGTTGAGGCTCACCTGTTATTTTTCATGCTAATGCATTGTTTTTAGACTTAAATCCCCCCTTTGTCACCTTTGTGCATTGGCCCGTGGCGGCTGGTAATACGCCATGCATGGCGCACCATTTGCGTCTTTGTACCCCCATACTCTTTGTCTGCCTTGATGCTGTATAAGCATATGCATGAGCCACTCACCCTCACCCGTATATAATGTCGCTGGTTACCACCACTTATCCTTCTTGAGCACTCATTCCTATAGCCGCTTAACATGCCTTCAGTTCAATCGCTACCGTCTTGTCTGCAGACACTCCCAGAGGAGCTGCTGGTCAAGCTCGTGTGCAACTACCTCGAGGTTGTCGACATCGTGCGCCTGCGTCAGGTACGTCCACTCCCCACTCAATCTTTCCCCGCGCTGACAAGTGACGACGTGTAGACGAACAAGTTCTTCCATACTTTCACTCGTAACCAGGGTCTCTGGCGGCGTATGTTCGCAGCAGCTGGCCCGTTGCCACGTGTATTCCCAAAGCCGCTCCCCGAACTGTATCGTTTCACCGACCGCAGCTGTGCCGAGCTGCTAGAATACGCACGCGACCTTGACGACGCGTGGTACGCCCCGCATCCGAAATTCGATGAGTGGGTCTTCGACGCGTGCTTTCGTGTGCAGGAGGTGTTGCTTCTTCCGGGGTGTCGGTACCTGCTTGCCACGGTGAGCCTGCACGACGAGAGAGATCTGCGCGGCAGGCAGGATGCGCACGCTTGGGGGCTCGTCGTATACGCGCTCGTGGGTAGACGTGGGCCGCTGCCGCTGGTGTTCTATCGGACAAGCGGCCTGGCATACGATCTAACGGCGAAGTTTAACAATGTACAGACGCGGCCGAAGGACCAAAAACCGGGCGCGTTCACATTTGCATATATCACGAACAATGGGTGGTTAGTAGACAAGCAGGGTAGGGGCGGTCTAGAGGAGAAGGACCTGGAAGCGGAGTGGTTGAGGTGAGTACATGTCGTTGGTTGTAGCATGCATCCAGCCTGACTATAAGACGCGCCAGAGACGGCCTCAAAAGCCACCACGAGAAGATCGCGACGGAGTGGACGGCGCATCAGATCGGCATCGTGCTCGAGAACCTTGAAGGATTATACATCAAGGCTCAGGAGATTGTCCCGGGTACTCCTGCATTCGACAGATACCTCAAAATACTCGTTCGAATGGATGTTCGGTCATGTATTGTCACGCCACCGAGCATTTCAGAACGCAGGCCGCTCAGTGTGCCCCAACTACTCCATCTAACAGAGGGCGACCCTGCGACGATGCTTCTCGCCGTGCTCTGCCCGCCGTATGTCCTTGTGCAGCAGGCTTGGGTCAAAGAGCCTCTGTCATGGACCATCGAGTTCAACGCGGACGCGAAAATGGGGGATGAACGGAGTGGTGCAACAAATGTGAGCTGCTGTTTCGTAACTCGGATGGCATTAGTATTAAATTGATAGTACTTGTTTAGATTATACGTGCGGTTCGGTTCATTCCTGAAACCAAGCAAATTGTTATCGCGCGACAGAAGAGCGACGGCCACCTCGAGAATTCAGCATCCGCAGAGCTGCACGTCTGTTTGTACGAAATTCCCTCGGAGCTCTACAAGACGAGCGATGATATACGCGTCAGCGGGCACATTCCCGTTCGCGAGGTCCTCGGTTTCCATTCGAAGGTCTCGACGTGTTCGGACATACACTTCGCGACAATCGACAAGAACCCTGTCTGGAAGTCGAGACCAGGCAATCTGCCGGAGCGCTTCGAGCACTTGCCCGCACTGTCCGTCTTCCTCAGCAGCGTCCCGCGTTCGTCCGGCACAGGCCTTAAGCGCTGGACCGTCCATGCGTGTTCACCGCACCTACATGTGCCTGAGCATAATGTGAGCGCATACTCGAGCGTGCGCTTCTATGCGCCGGACATGGACGAGTTCGGGTATGGCCCGCGTACCTCGCATGCGCCAGGTGCGGTACCCATGCTCGCGCCACACCTGTGCTTGGACGGCATGATGAGCGTGTTCCTCGGTGCACAAGCCGAAAAGGAGTGGCGGCCTGTGCAGAGCTCGACAGGTGCGGGACGCCAGCTCCTCTACGCTGCCGAGGCAGGTAAGGGAGAATATGCTTCGCGGGTCGCAGGGTTTTATAGGCTCTGTGAATTTGTTGGTGGACAATCTGCCGTGAGGCGCCTTCCTGTCTCTTTGCCTCTCTACGAGGGCGGTGTTTGGGATTGCTCTAAGCTCATTGTGGCATGGGACGACTCCATGGGTCGGATATGCTGGACATTCCCTGGTTCTAGGACGATACGAGTTGTGGACCTTGTCCCATTAATTAAGAGAGGTATGTCAGTTGTTTGCTCGCAACGCATGATTTTGACGCTCTGCGAGCAGACTCTTGGGCGAATAGTTCTGTTTCTAGTATTGTTCCCGCGGTCGTGGTCGGTAGTCCCATCAGGTCTAATTCTGAAAGCGTCGAGCTGTCGCCCGCCGTAGACTCGCGCTGGAGCAGGCGAATCTCAGTTCTAACGGAACTGGACTTCTTCCTGTGGGATTCGACGACTCCGCCCAGAAGATATTGAAAGCTACAATCCATTGTAACGCAGCTCGCGTTCTATTTCCCCACGTTGCTATCGATTTACAGTGTGAAAATCTCATTTTTTCCGCGCGGCCGATCCGCGCTCTTGCAATACATAGGTATAAGCTCTCTTTACTCACCCTGCTAGTCCATTAAGCACACAGCCCGTTGCCGGTTTTCTCTTTCATGCCTATAGGGTCGAACTGTTGCTGTTCCTGCTGAACTTGGATGGCCGAGAAATCTTGGCGAGCAGGGTAATTTTTGGGCATCGAGCGCAACCCCGGTGTTGGTGTAGAGTTGATTGCTGCCACACACCATCCGGGAACGCTTTAGGAGCTTCAGCGACGAGCTTCCCGGTGGGTTACTTCGGAACTGTATCTGCAACAACACTACTAGTAACAGCGAAGTTACTTTTGTTATACGGTTTATGATAGGACTGTGCGCACAAGGTGATCATTCGCGCCTTCTTTACGACAGTCTCGAGCTTTTCCTCAGTATTTCCCATGAATAGAATATCTACTCCGCTGGTGGCCAAAGCCTGAGTAACAATAAGGTCAATCAACGCCAGAGCCTCCGCCAGTGGCGGCGACTTTGGAGCTGCTGGCCCTGAGGAGTTCGGCCACCGGGCCATGGCCAGGCCCTGAATCAGCGTTAGGACACTGTTGTGGGCTTTATGTATGGCGGAAATGTAACACAGAGTAGTGAGATGAATCGATGGTTTGAAAGAACAGTGGCTGGAGACGAGCGAGGGTAAGTGAACCAGACGGCCTATGAAGGACCGTGCATGTCCGCTGGGCAACTTAGGCTCTACGCAGATTGCACTATCGCGATGTAGTCAAATTTTAAAATTGATAGATTAACCAGTAAATGTACTCGTGTCAAGGAAAACGAGTGAAATGCACGGCCTGAGAGAGATGCGGACCTTGTGCTGTTCTATCGATTATCTGTCGCTTAAGCCGAGTTCGGGGCCGACCAGTCCTACTGTGAATTCATCTGTGTATTTTTACTCGCTCCTAGTTGTTCAAACCACCAGTGACCGAGCAGTCCTGGGACGACAACCATGATGTCGGGACCCTTGATACTCCATAGTACATGCTGGAGAAGCTAGTGTCGGCGCTAGCCGTCGTGCGCGGCTTATTTCAAGGCTAGGTGTCCGCTCGTACTTACGAGGAGTCGCCCTTAGTAAAGAAAAGGAGAACGGGAGAGCTGGCCGAGCCATAGCCCTGGAAGTTCTCGAGCTTGGTGCTGTCATTACGCGCGACGCCGGCGAGTCACTGTCGTCAGGGATAACATCAGTCTCATGATGAACGCTGGCAAGCCAGATATTGTGTCAGGGAGGGCAAGCCGGGATACTTCATTCCGGAAACTCTATACTAGGCCAAAGAAGACAGTGGCGGTGGCAGTCGAATACTCGGTATGTTGCGCAGAAGCAGAGGTATCTCGGCGCTTTCCGGGTCGACAGCGCCCGATGCTTTAGTGGCCAGTGGCGGTGAACCCGGATTTCAACATTTTAACGGGCTTAACACTCGTGCAGAAATCACGTATTCCGCATGTCGGGTACCCAGAGACGCAGCAGAACATCACTCACCGCCTGGCAGCTGAGGCAAGTTTCTTGATAGCTCGGAATCCTTGTTTCTGTTTTCACAGGCGGCCCTCTACTAGTAACTCTACCATTCAAGCGATGCCCTTCAAGCGAACACCCATCTCACAACGCGCTTCAGTTCAAACACAAAAGTTGCCATATTGCCTTTATGCGCCCACCTTGAGAGTCGTCATGGACAGCATCATGCTGACCAATGCACAAACCGACGCTAAGGGTGGCCACGGGTCCAGGTGCCAAAGTCGCTTCTTGATCGCCAGCTTTAATACAACGTACAATAAACCGCGCCACTCAGCACTCTTTGTCCCCGGCAGCCATGCATTTGGACCGCCGTGTTTCTGAAGTGAACTGGCCGCCGAGTGTAGATCGTCGCCAAAGGCGGGGCGAGCTGTGGGGCATCGCAGTTTTTTGTCTCCACCATGCAGTGGTATATCAAGGTGTGCCCGAGTCTTTATCTCCCCTGGCCTTCTTCCTCTGAAGGTTCCCTTCCTCTAGCGCGGTCGCTGTCTTTGATCATGAGTTCTCCATATCAGAAACTGAAGCAATCTATCTCCCGCGGCGTTGTGAAACAGATCGTGCCCCGCATCGCAGCGCAGAGCACTCAGCTCTCTCCGGACACCCCTTCTCCTGCGACCCCTACAACGCCAATGTTGGCATCGTTCACTACAGACTCGGACGGCTCCTCTATCAAGACCGCGGATGCGTCTGCGACGGGGAACGACCTGACCGTGTTAGCGTCTGTAGAGGACCTCGACCCTTCGGTGCGTCGCGCCATGAGTGACTTAGCCGAGGTTGGACCTGACACCTGTAGACATTCGAGCAGCTTGTTGGCCAACACATCCGCAGCCGAGCTAGCCTCGACAGGGCTCTGGCCGAGGACCGTCCGCCGAAGCCCACCTCTGGACTCGCGCCTCCACCATACTACAAGCCCGATGAAGCGTCTTCTGTGCTGTCTCGCCGTGGGTCTACCGAACAGGACCGTGCCTCAGGTAAATGCTACAAGTGCCAGGGTCTGATATTCGATGGTCGTGCTCACAAGTGCGTGCCATCGACGATGCCGCACTGCTGCGTATTGACTCCAAACGCTGCAGGTGCTCGCCGAAGTAGCATGCTTATTGCTAGACGGATTGCCTGCCGCCTGGCTTCCTGCTACGCAACGCCAACATCTTCCAGCAGTTATCTCGTCCCTATCGTATCCAGTCTTGTACTTCCATGTTTTTTACTGTACCTGTACGCCATCATGCAACTCTTGCAGTGTCTCTTCGCCGTGGGCATTGAGAGAACCTGGCCATGAACCTCTTGCACTCGGTATGTGTGCCACTAGCGAGTAGAATAGGCGCAATTTCAAGTACATCTTCTGCATATCGTCGCTCCGAGGCTGTCCGGACTCAGAGCCTCCGACTTCAGAATCCAGACTCGGCAGGGGAAAGTAGTAAATAAAAAGATGACGACTATGATGTCGTAAAATTTCTGTTCACCCTCATGAGGGAGACGCCCCAAAATTGCACCAAAATTGCATCAAAACTGCCTCATGAGGCAAATTTCGTGCCGCAATGCACATCAATTCACGATATCCTTACGACACAGAGTGGTAAACGCACTTTTTTCCGGCGGTGTTTTGAACCCTTTTGGCTGGTTTTGCACCAGTTTCTCCTCAATTTGCGTCTTTTTTATTTATTTAAATCCGCGGGTTTAGAGTGCGTACAACGGGGCACATGAGCACCTCCTCAATTTGCGTCGGTGTAGGATCAAGGAAAAACTGGGCCTTATTTAGCCGCTTTTGTCCGGGGTTTCTCGAGAAAAAAACTGCGCTTACCACTCTGTGCAAGTTACGACTTGAGAGAAAAGATCGTATTGGTGTATCGTGGTTTCGGGAAAAAACTTGCAGCACCAACTGCTCCCTGTGAGGATCGAACTCACGACCTTAGGATTGCACACTCATCAGAGTGCTCATAGCAAAGTATGAGACCTACGCTCTACCGGCTGAGCCAAGGAAGCATCGCAACGTTATTCTCTTTTCTATGTATTATCCCACTTGTCACAACGGTGCCTATTCAAATGTGGCGTCCCTGCTTTTGTACATTCACCGCGGCGCGATGCCACCTACACCATTATCACCGGCGCATGAGACAAGCATTAGCAATTCCGCTGACCCTAATGTGCAGAGTGCCTATGGTCTCGTGCTAACTGCCGAGCATGCCGCTGTCCTCGCCGGAGACGAAGAGGCTGTGATGCATGCGAGGGTGGTCGGCTTCCTCATGGTCGCGTTCCATGACTTCAGGGCGACGCTAGGAGACCAATGCATCAGCCGTGTCTCCGAGGAAGTCCGCTCACCGTCCGTCGACTCCAACACCGTGGTTTACAACCTCGGTCTCTGGTACCGAAATAATTACTGCGCGCGTGTAAGCTTCGCGACCCCCTATCCTTTTAAGCGCCTTTACTCACAAAGTGGCACCGTAGTTCTGGAGGCCAAAGAGCGACAGACGATTTCCGCCCCGTATTTCACGCCCCCGTCGTTTGCGACTCTGGAAGACATGCGGAAGGACGCCCTAGACGGCTCTGGTAGGGACTACGTGTCGGCAAAGAAGCGCGTGCGTTCCTCGTTAGTTCTTCTCCAACGCATTACACATGTTTACAACTCTCGTCCAGGCATTGGCCCGCGACGACTTTCGCTGCATGCTATGCGGCATATATGACAAGAATTCTGTCAAACATAATCGTGCATTTTTCCCAAAGCACGTTCTTGATGCCGTTGGGACGGGGTTCACCAGTGGCTGCCATATTTTGTCTGAGTTCACGCTGCGAGATGACGACTCCATGGATCTGGGTCACGATAGAAAGGTGCGCCTTATCAACCTGAATCGGCAGTTTGGTGACTTACCTCACGGCAGAGAGAATATGCAGCATCTGTTCTCTCAGTCCTCAGTTCGTTCGGACTGAATACATTCGTCGAAGATATGGTAAAGCAGAGCACTATAAACCACTTATCCAACGTCCTCACAATGGCCAATCCTTTTCGCGACCTCTTCGATCGACTAGAGCTTTGGCTTGAGGGTACAAATATACCGAATGAGGTATTTGTCATCTCCTCTACAATCTGCTTTTGCTGACGCTTCAAAGCACAAGATATGCGTGGGTGACGAAAGTCTTCTCATGCTGTTCAGACTAAGGGAGCGAAATCTCCGCTTCCGAGCTCATGTTCCGGGTCGAGATGATCTTCCACTGCCTGACTCCCGACTGCTTGCTATCCATGCGGCATGTGCGCGGACGATGCAATTGTCCGGAGCTGCTGAGCACATAAGTGGGTACGATTGGGATGCCGAGGACTTGCAAGTTCTTGCGGAAGACGGATCTTCGAGCGCAGTCCTGCTCGAGAAAGTCAAGAGGATCGCTGTCTTTTCGTCTTCAAGTGCACAAGATGTGTCCCGTTCGTCCTGAGTTGTCGCGACGGCTTCCGGTGCATGCTCAGCGGCGCGTACGACATCGATTCTGTCGGCTTTGATACTGCAACTTACCCAGAACATACCCGCGCCACTGCTGGGAGAAGATGCACAAATTGCTGCTACATCTTCCTCGGCTCCGCGTTTCAAGATTCCAACCTGGAGGACCCGGATTGCATTATAAAGGTGCTATTTCTTGTTTCTAGCTCACAGGTCTAATGGCTAACCTTACGATAGAGGTGCTTTGCATAAGTCATTCTCACAGCCCTCGAATTGTTTGGAGTTGGGTCATTCGTGGGGGAGGCAGCAGGGCGGGGCGATGAGAGTTACCTATCTAACGTCCTCACAATGATCAGTCGTCTTCACAGCCTCTTCAACGAGTTGTAGCTCTGGCTCGAGGCCACGAACATGCCCGAATGAGCCATCTACTTCTCTTTTTCATTCTTTTCGCACTGACGGTTTACAGCACAGAACTGCTGTTCTGCCGTCGTAGGCCATTGCTGTGCCGTTGGCGTCCGCAGGTAATTGAGGCATACTCGAGCGGTCTACCACCTCCTATATTTAGATCTGTGCCACAAGATTCGGGCTGTCTCTGACATGAACGAGCTGGGACGATGATCGTTAGCCACTCTTCAAGTTGAATATAGAACCTGCCGTAAGTGTAGGCGTTCAAACAAGAGTGCGGGCGTTATATGAAGTGAGGTTTACCTCAGGTAGATTCTTACTATGTCTTTGCGCGCTGCTGCTGGAGGATGCATGCCCCAATAATATATGTATAGCCATCGTGGCAAGTGCAGTCGTCATAATTAAACCGTAGTTGAGCCATCATCGAGGAGGATTGACGGAGGACTACTCTCTACAGCTAGCTGCTTCACCCTTCCTGCTCTAGCGCAGCCTGCACCATCGCCGCATGCGTGGGCGATCGTGGACGAATACAACATTTAAACGGCATCGGCGCCCTGTAAATCCATTCATCAGTGGCCGTTCTCTCACCGACATCCAAAAAGACACTCACGATAAGAACCCATCCGTGTACTCCCCACTTGGCTCAACGATCGCACCGTCTGCGTCGACGGCTTTGGTTATGTCGAATGCAGCAACGACGCTCGCGACCGCGATCCAGAGCGACTCATACGCCATGTGACGCCCAGGACAGATACGACGCCCGAAGCCGAAAGCTGCCACCATCGGGTGGCGTACCGTCGAGTCGAGCTCGACGTCCTCTGCGTCCGCTGCGTCTGCGCCCGGGCGTGGTCGGAGGAATCGTCGCGGGTTGAAGGCTTCTGGATCGGTGTATGCCTCAGGGTCGTGTAAGATTGCCCTGCACGCTATGTAAGCTGAGTGGGGCTCAGAAAAGGCCTACGAAGCGTACCAAACATTCGCGAGGACAAGCGAGCCTTTCGGGATATGATAGCCCTCATAGATGTCGTCCTTGGTCGACGTGTGCGCCAAGTCTGTTTGGACAGCCGTCAATACCCAGACTGCTCAAATGCGAAAGAGAGGAGACACACTCATCGGGCCGACTGGTCGCCAGCGTAGGCATTCCCTCACGATAGCATGTATCCACGGCAGCGCGTCGTAGTCCGAGAAGTCGGGCAGTCGTCCCTCGCATACCCGGTCCACAGAGCGCTGTGCCTCTTGCAAGGCCTCAGGGTGCAATGTCATAGCGAGGAAGAACGTCTCTAGGGTGGATGTGGTCTTCCCATTTGTCAGCAAAATTTCCGACGAACGGACACAAATAGTACTAACCGTGTCTGCTCCACCTGCGCGGGAGAATATTCAGTGAGATACTGAGCGCGCTATGTTTGTGCAAGCTTACCTATATACATCGAGCCCAGTGTCGCTTTCACGACGTTCTCCGCATACGCAGGGTCCTCATGGCCGAGCATCTTCTCTAGGAGCGGCCTTGCCATGCAGTCTGACGGAATATCATCCCGGGCCTTAAAAACCGTTACTTTAGCTGTGGCTAAACGAGACGATCCAGGGGCTGACTCCCACCTTCATTGCATCAAACGCCGCATTAAACGCAACGTCCACATCTTTCCGCCATTCTCGACCTTGTCTCTTGAATCCAGCACCAGGGAACCATTCTGGAACATATTTCACTGTGAGGTTAACAGTTATTAGGATGATGGTAGGCCGAGCAGAGTCCATGTAACGTACGCATGGGAATGAGATCTACCAGGAATGTGCCCGGCACCACACATGCAACGGCGATGTGTACCGCCCGCTCGGCCGCTGCAATGTACGGGTCGTTGCTGTCCTGGATCTCCAGACCGTACGTGTTGGGTAAGATTTGCTGCCCTGCAAAGCTTCGCGATGTTCAGATCGCGATCACCATGCAGAAAACGGCGGATTGGCTCACTATTTGATGCACCTTCGGAAGTCTTCCGGCATTTCAATGAGGTTGCGGAGGAGCTTGAGTGTCGCTTTGATCTCTGTCGGCCGATAGCGCACGATAGCCTGAGGGTGAAATCCTTGAGACGCCCCCTTCCTTAGGTCGCGCCAGTACGAATCATATCGTGCCAGTCCCAGATTCCAGTCGAATCCAATACTAGGCACGATTAGTAAAATAGATAGGCCGCACAACCGAGTAACCTACAGCTCTCTCAGCATAGTAAGACCTGCGTTCGGCCTGAGTCGGTTAGCAATGTGTCTATGAGGAGGAGCGGAAGGTGGCACACCTGTCAGAGTAGATGGCAGATCGAGTCTCCAAGAGTTCAGTTGCGACTTTGAGAGTGTTCGCTATGACGATGTTGGTCCCCAGCATATTCGTACCTAGTATGTCGGAATCTGCTTGGGAATGAGCATCTAGAGAAGGCGGGGAGGTATAATGGAACTTACTATAGTCGTCGCTCCACTGTCTGTACGTGACACACACGGGTTTCTCGATGGGACGCAAGTAGCCAACGAGCGGCCAGCCGCGAGGTCCAGGGAGTTTTGCGAGTCCTCGAGCAGCTGTAGTGCCCGCGAACATGCGGTAAGCTCTCAACAGAATGTAGGTGAGGCATCCAACGCAGAGCGCGGTGCAAGTCGTGGATGTTAGGCAACCCATGGTGGTTGTGATTGTGATAAGTCGAATGAGCTCATTTGGACGAACCGAGGCCAGTATTTAAACATGTAGCAGGCGTCAGCGTACGTCCAGTGGCACGGGGAGAAGACCGTTTGCTGTACAAGCACGCGAGCGCGGATTCAATCCGTCGGTACCACCGGATGTTGACTCGATAAGGACCAGGGCGAGCAACAATGAGAAAATACTATGTCGTTCGGAAGCGCAGTGACTCGCTACGTCGTCGTCGCCGAAGCAACGCGGAG